TTTTTTTCAAATCAAAATAGTGCAAAAGCACATGTCGAAAAAACACTTTATCGCGTTCCATTTTTCACAAAGCAAAAGAAATTGTTGTTTAGGAAAATAATTGTGTATGCTGACTGAATGTTATCGAGAAATGTCGAAATTAATCACAAACTACCTGTTTCGTTAGTAATGACTACTAGAACTGTTTGCATTGCCATCTAACATTTGCGGGCGGAAACTAAGTTAAGGTCCTAATATGTTAGATGCAATGAACCAGTATGCACCAAATGTGCAAACACTATCTGTAACGATTGCATCTAAAAATCCTCTAAGATTTTAATATTGTATTTGATTTAACAATACTTGTTTATATTTTTTATATAATCTATAATTTGTGGACTTAGATTAAAACATAAATTTTTTTCTTTTTCCGATTATTTGTCTTTCAGTGTATTTTATTTCAACACTGTCCACATTGTGTTCATTTTATAATTAGTTAACGTTTTCTTTTAGATTACTGAAAAACTGAGACTATTGTTATAGATATCTAGTTGTAATATAATATTTGTGAAGTATTATTTTCGAAAAGTATTATTTTCGAACTATAAAACGTTTTTCTTTTTACTTTTATTATCATGTTAAAAATGGCAAAAATTTATTGGAGTCCGCCAGACCCCACTATAGCTTGACTAAAAAGGCATTGTACCTGTTACGGGTAAGAAATTGACCAACCACAGTTCATTATTTTTAAAATAATTGACTGTAATTAGTCAGTTTATTACGGCTTAAAGATTAAAGCAAGATTATGGACAAGGGATAAGGTTATTCTGCAATTTCTTAACGCTTGCGTTATAACTGTAACGCAAGCATTACGTGCGCGCGCGCGCATTGTCACGTAGATATAACACATAATACAATATCTGCTATTGTCGTTAAAAGTTACAAACAATCGTTAAAAGTTACAAAATAAACGCACTGCACTGAGAAAAAAGACTTGAAAATTTATTTTTGTGAGGTAAAAGTGTATTCCACGGAAATAAACTTTATATCCCACAAATAAATTCACAAGTATATTTTTTCAGTGTGGTCTTTCTTATCGCGGAACTCTCGAATGATGATGTCAGAAGCGGGAACACGAAAAATTCATGCGAAATACAAAATAAAAGAAAAGGTTTATAAAGTGATCTTTGGGGTCAATTGAGCACATTTATATGAAATATTTCATAAGAACCTTCTTTTTATTATGTAATATGTATATATAACAATCGATAAATAATCGTAAAAATTAACACAACCTTTCTTTATAGATTACCATTTCTTATGATATTGTCACGTTAATTTTATGATTATTTACTGATTAGAATAAAGTGAAAGTTTTCAGGATATTTTATAAATATATCATATATTTACCTAAATAATGTTGAATTAATTAGAAGCGAAGAAAACTGGTAAACTTTTTACGTTTCTCTCGTTTCATAGTTTTCATTAATCGCATCTTACAATCCTGATATATCTTTAAGAAAAAAATTAATAATGAGAGCACACATCCTTTTTTTATGGATTTTTTCATATACATGTGTCAGTATGCTATATTATTATAAATTTAAAACGCGCACGAAGCAGACGAGGACGAATATGTTTCGACCAGCTGAATTATGTAGGACTAGTTCGTATTTTCAGCGTGTAACGTACGCGCCTATTCTCAAAGTTATTTTAAAATATTCCAGGATACGCTTAAGGAATCTTAACCCCCCAATCCTCATGACACCTACACGCTGTTCGAGCCAAGTTTGCCCGCGTTTATTTAGCGTGTCTCCCCGAAACTTTTTCGTCGGCATAACAAGCATTCTCGTTAAACTTTAGCGAAATTCGCCGGGCATACAATGTTCGCCAACGATTTACCGAAAATTATATAATCGTAGGGAAAGTATTGAAAAATATAAATGCCCCGACTACCGCCGCCGCTACTTTTCACCGCTCACAATACTCTCGACCTCCGGAAAAATGGAATTTTTTTCAATACGCTGTTGTTGCCAACAACTTCCGGACGTTTCTAATGTCGTCGAAAAGCAAGCGAAAATATTCAAAAGAACTCGTAAAGAGATTTTGCGAAGTGTCTGGTACATTCGCCGTCCTCTTTTATTTCCCTCCTCGTCGCTTTAATAAAAATATTTTTGCCGGAGTCTCTGCCGCTATGAATCAATTCGAGCAAATCCAATCGGACTACGTGCATTCAAACTTGGATGTCTCGTATATCTCATTCTTTCCACGCTTCGCGATTCCTTCGGGATGTACGATATTCATGTCTGGACACGCTTGTCATCCTTCTATTTATTGAAGAATTCAATTTTTTTAATATTAGTGTTGTCGCGGCTAGCTGCGTCGCATGAAATGCACGTTACTAGCAGACAGAAAGAGAGAGAGGTGGAGAACTATGTAACGCTCTATCAAAGCTCCAAATAATTCTCGAAATTCAGTGAAATATGTGTGGATTTTCCGAAATTCAATACAGTCTGGCGTTAGTGAACACAGTCGAAATTCTACGTGAAATGTAAACAACATTAATTCCCTCGTCATTAAAATATTTCCATCAACATTAACGTCGATTAACATTCCGTTAGTCCGTTGATTAGCATATTGAAGCTAGATAGTTCTTTCGGACGATAGAAAATATTTTAAACCGCATCTGTATTGCTCCAAAATGTTGGAAACAACGCGACTCCCGAGAGGAAACACCATTTTTTCTACACGACGCTACATCGCACACAATATAGAACGACGTTTCTGTATCCATCGAACTATAGGGAAACTCGGAAATTCAACACCGCTCTATGATCTACTCGAGACTCGTGCCCCAAGAGATAGAGAGGCAGAGACAGATAGATAGCTGGATATATATATATATATATATATATATATATATATATATATATAGAGGGAGAGAGAGAGAGAGAGAGGGAACAGCAGGAGGGTTTAATATCGCATTCACAGACACGTAATTCCCGTTTCCGCAGCTGGAGGCGTGCGGCCGACTTCTGTGCTGCGTGCAGAGGCTCTGCAGAAGCGGAAGTGCAGCCGACGAACCCGAGCGTCGGATCAACCGCGGTCGGCGAGGCGCGCAAGCGGAGCCAGAGGTGGATGGTCCCTCGGGCCCGGAGGATGGAATGCTCGCTATGCCTGTCAGCCCGAGTCCTGCGTCCACCTCGTCGCAGGAGGACGCCTGCAAGCCGCCACCGCGTAACTGCTACCGTCTCGTTATGCTCGGCAGTGCCCGCGTTGGAAAGACCGCTATTGTAGCACGGTAATCGTCAAGTTTCGCTCGAATCGCGACCCTCGGCTTTAATAAACTCTTGATCCATCCCGTCCTTTTTTTACCCTTCTCTCAATTGTCGCTCCATCGCCCTCTCGTCTCGCTATTATAACTTTTATCGTGCTTGCTAAATCTCTTGGAGTAAAATCTCACTCCGAGTGAAAAGTGGCAGTATTTTCACTTGACACAATAGTGAAAACATTGCTACTCGAAATCGCAAGAGTGAATGTTTCTACTCAAGCTCAGAGTGGATTCTGACTCCATATGAGCGAATGTTTCAATCGATTGGAGTATATATGTGCTTGGAATACATCACATTTACTCTTCAATTTTCAATGAAAATATACACTCGACAATTCAGAGTGGAGAATTTCATCTGCACACGGAGAAAATATTATAATTTCTTTTTTCATATAAATTTTTTTCCTATTTTACGACGGTCCAATTTTCTTTTCCAGTGGTCCAGGAAAAAATTATGTCAGTAAGGTCTATCTTGCTAAAGATTTAGTAAATCTCGCTAGAAATGTAATAAATTTCGCTAAAAATAAAGCAAGTGTTTTAATAACACATTTCAATATCTCTGAAATATAAGTAGCGTATATAAAATGAAAGGACAGTGAATTACTGCAAAATCTATTCGGTTTATTCCTCGATCACGAAACCCTGCAGTAATTTTTATTAAAACGTAAATCGTTGGTCACTCTTCCTTTCGAGTGAAAACTTCAGTCCAAGAAATTTGGAGAGTATCTCACGGATTATCATTTTCGCGAAAGTAGAACACTGTTTCGCGTGTAGTTGCATTTTCCCGGAATTACGTTTGTTTGTTTGCAACTTTTGCATTTAGTCTCTCGCGTGTTTCCAGGAAGATTCTCTGTAAACGCACGAGAAATTCTCTCGGGCCTATTCCGGCAAATCCGAGAGGCGCTCCTCGCGATGCGATCCCTACCTAGATATTCCGTACGGCTCGCTGCTCTCCCCGGGTCTTTAAACGATTTCCGTTCGTCGCGCTCCCTTTCGCAGATCGATTACTAATAGTGCGAACAATGTAATTCAATTAATCTTTGAAGCGCACCCGCGGCTCACCGTCGGTGCGCGCATTATTGTGTTTACCGTTGTGTGTACGCGAACACGTACGGGTGCGCCACACGAGAGAATATCGAAAAATCGGCCACGTGTTTCCCGGCTAACAAAGAGCGATCCTTTCGAACAGGCGGATCAGCCTGTTAAAAGCTGCGAGCTAACGACGTTTCTTTCCCCATCGACGAGCAAATCGGGGCGGGCGCGGGTTTCGTGCGGCGTCATTACAGGAGGAAGAGGATAGAACCCATCGCCGCCGCTACCACCGTCCGATGAACGTCGCGACACCGCGAAATGTTGAAAATTTGCGGCGCACGGCCAGTCCAAAGTTATGCCGACCATCCTAAATTGACCGCAATTACGCGGCCCACGCATGCTAAGCGAATTTTTCGTTCGTGCGCGCGTAGATAGCGACTACTAACGAGGCCATTTCGGAAGCCGAAATATAGACGCCTGTATGGCCGCCCGCGCTCTCGACCAAATGCGAGTTTTTAAATACTCGGCATTATATTGGTTAAGTCCGTGTGTTTATCGCCCAATTGGACGCGTAACAGAGAAAATACATTTAAATAATTAAAACAGCCGCTTTTAGCCGCGAGAGAGATAAAGAGCGAAGGAAAAACACGGGCATCCTAATTTTCCGACGCGTTTGAGGCGTGATGGATGCGCCCGAAATCACGATACTGTGCGCTGATTTTGTTAGGTGAAGTAAAACAAATTCGGAGATAGATACACGCCCAAATACAAGACTCAAAGGGAGCAGCCGATAAAAAGAACAAAAAAACGAACAAAAAATAAATAGACTAGAGAAGTGTAAAGAGATCAAAATGGCCAGGCATGTCCGCGTCAAGCACACATGGATCGTGTAAAATCTTTGCCGCTCACGTTCCAGGTTTCTGTCCAACAAATTCGAGGAGAGCTACACGCCGACGATAGAAGATTTTCACAGGAAGCTCTATAGGATCAGAGGCGAGGTTCACCAGCTTGATCTCCTGGATACAAGCGGAAACCATCCGTTTCCGGCCATGCGACGATTGTCCTTCCTGACGGGTAAGTCCATCGCCCTCTCTCCTTACCGCAAGAGAGAGTGCGCTGCTCCGTTCCGCGTGACCGTTCGCAAATAAAGAATAAAAACAAAAAGGAAGAAAAAATGAAAGAGAAAAAACAACGAAAGGGGAAGAAAGTAAAATATCCGCGAGTTCCACAAAAATATCCGAATACACAGTTTCCGACGATATTCAAATTCCAATTCTCCTACCCCTTCCGTACCCCCACGTCTACCAACGGCGGCTTGTATTGCCGCTTTCGACGCGGCGAATATTGACTTGACAAACTTAATGGATATTTAAGCCCCTCCGTACGGGCGAATGGAAATTGCACGTTAGCGAGCGACGCGCGTTGCAAATGTGCCGCGATGCATCTTGTATGAGAACGTGCCAGACTGCGGCGCGCGGTTGAAAGAAACAGAAGAATAAAAATATACAGCCCCTAAAGACGCGGACAATTTTTTGCGACGAGTAAGGCTTCGTGAATCTTTAAGGGTCCCGAGGAGACGCGGAACATTTATTATAGCTCTCTGTTCGCATAAAAATTAACACAGCCTTTCTAATCCCGACACGTGCGCTCCTCCTCTACGGCCTGAGAGAAAACTTTCGTTCTTCGCGACGGAGGGTGAGGGAGCAGCGCCTAAAATCGCGCTACCGATTTTGCCACACGTACACAGGGCGCGTTGCTCGAGAAGTTTCACGGCTCTTGCGAAATCTCGCAACGCCGACAACGACAGTTCGCCGTGCGCGCGTGGGAAAAGTTCGGGGAAACGCTGCCCCGGGTGATACCGGTCGGCCGTTACGAGAATTTCAGACGAGGCACGGATACGAAGTTAACGCGTTCAGCACCGCGTGGATTTCGATTAAATTTGCAGAGACCTAAGCGCGGATTATGCTCCCAAAGTTACAGCGCGAAATTCAATTTTCAATAAATTAAAGACTTGCGCGGCGGTCAGTGGCCGAGATAACGGCCTGACCTGCTCAAGTACCTAGAGAGACAGCAGCTGCTACATTATCTCACTTATTTTCATTGATTTACTCCTTAAAAAGGCACTCCTCTCTAATCCCGTATATATATATCCCCTTAATAGTGCAATATATATCCTGAATCTTACTATAAATTCAATCTCTTCTCTCTTTCTTCCCTATCCTAAAGCTATTCTCGATTAAACAGTGGAGGATAAACCGTTCTGGCGACGAACCTTCGAAATATACCGCATTAGTTAATCGATTCTCTATAAACGGCACAGACAAATCCCTAATTATAGTTCGTCGTCTTTCAACCTTGTATTAATGAAACACGTTAGTCGTATATCGTAACACGGGTCACCGACGATCGTCGATGGTATTCAATGCGTCGAAGGAGGGTTGCTCGACGAGGGTCGTAGGAGCGAAGGCTTAAAGGCGAGTGATAAGTGGCCGACAGTCTCGAAGGACGTTGTATCTCGGCGAAAATGCTGAGGAAAGTGTACGGACTATGCGCGCTCGATAACTCAGTTTAGTCCATTGGCCGTGCTCTTTACTGCCCGATAGAACTCCTTTGATTTCGCATGTAGATCTCGAATTCTCCCCGGCGCGTCACACATCCCGACGCTCACCTCCAGCCCGATAACTCGATATCGCGCCGCAGTGTTGGACGCGCGACAATTGCATCGCTTGTCGCTTGACAAGATGGAAGACTCTCGTCGACCTGACTGAAAATACATACTTGCGCGCGCGGATATACACACGAACGTCGTACCCACCGGCGAACCGGAGGGTAATCCAAGTTACGACCTATGCATAGCGCGCAATTCCCAAAACGATGCTACATTCGGCAAGACAGCAGCGAATTACTGCACGGGCGCGGAACGCGAGCTACTCCCGCCTCGGATACGGCAATTTCATTTTTTTGCCCGGAGGTATGACGAGTTGATAAATACGGGTTCGATTTATCACAAAGCCACGAATATTTTCCTTTGTCGTTCTGCGTCGTTTTGTCGCTTTCATTCCATCGCTCTTCTTATGTTCGTTTTATCTATTAAATTATATTGTATAATTTTTCGCTAATTTGTTTTAATTCCTCTAATAATAATTTTACTTACGTAACGAGACCCCGGAAGAACCCGCGTGGAATATTTCGCGATTATTACCCAATTATCACCCGATCATTAATTATGTAATATTGTATAATAAAACATAATACTCGACGACGGAATGACTGCGGTCCAGAATTGTCGACAATCACGGTACGCCCGCGGGGCCTTTAAGTATACGAATTCGCCGTCACGATGAAATGGAAATGCGCAAATTGCACCGGACAGAACCGATACTCGTCCCTCACGAGTTATTGCTCCATATACGCCCAGGGAACGGCGGGGTGTCGCGTGTCACGGACATAGGGTGACCTCGCACAGGAGCGCTTGACGAAATTAGACACGTAAATCCGAGGAATTTTTAAATTGCCGTCCGCGCGCGCACGGAAATCAAGAAAGCCACGTCGATGGGAATTTCATCGCGGCGTGTTTAGTTTTGTATTCCGTCCGGGGCGCTCGCGTGCCGCAGCAGAAATTCCGCGCATTCGTGCCGGGAAGTCACGGACTCCGCCGCGTTTTCCGCGTTCGCATTCGCCTCGGCGGCGCCGCGGAGATCTCTTAATAATTCGTACATATCGTCCGCATTTCGACGGAAACTTTTATCGCGCTAAAAACTTTCCCGCCCGCAGAGACATAGGCGCTGACGATGATACGTTTGTGCGCCATTATACACGGAAAAAGAGATGTCAGTTTAACTCAGTGTAACTCAGTGTAACTGAGTAGGAATCGGACAGAAAACTCAGTGACGAGAAATAACATCTCTGTTACTGAAAACATTCGTGTGAACGTTCAGTCGCGTTGAAACTCGCAGTTGAGACAATTGGAGAAATCCATGGAGCATTAGTAGAAATCTCCTGCAGGAATCTTTCCGTCTTCTTCCTGACAACCGAGAGTTTTTCGTCTGGTGCTCAGTTAACAAAAGATTCAGCCACTAACGCACATGTTTTTTTTCCATGTAAACACGGCGAGATAGATGCCTCACTCCTTAAGTCGAACGTTACATGATTTTCGATCTTGTACATAACACTTGAGATTAGAAATCACATAAGTAATTCTAATTATAATACGGTAGGGTTAAATGGCTTTAAATCATAATGATTTCAACCTTATTCGTATGCGTATGCATCAGACTAAAAATCGTAATTTTCGACTCAAGGAATGGCAGAGTATCCATGGCGCCGTGTATGTGCTCGTCGAGAACGACCAAGTCGTATCGGGAGTATCGCGTTCGCGCTGAGAAGTTGTGCGTTTCCCGCTAATCGTTTCCGTGTGTGCAATTTCGAGCGCTTTTCTTCCCGAAATCCGTAATGTTTGCGAGCGACGTCGTATCTCGGCGGGGCGAATTTTATGTGCGATAAACGATACCGCGAACGTGCTCCTGCACGCGCGGCCACAGATCGGCTTACGGCGTCGAAAACGCGAAAAGTCGAATTGGCGAGTCGCGGATTCGCGTCGAACTACGTCTGAACACGGACCAACGCGGCGATATGACCCCGATTCGTAGACAATGAGCCTCCGGACGCGACGGCTGTTGCGAGAAGAGAGAATTCCTTTCGACACCAAAGACGCGAACTTTGCCGGCATAATAGCTGACACACATATATTTTCATCTAGCGACGGGAACAATAACGGGGCTCGCTGGAGCGGGAATAAAATGTCGTGCTACGATACAGGCGGCTGGGATTTTCGTCACCGACAAGTCGAATTTAAGAGATTTCACGACGACATAACGGCGCGACGGGGTGAAACGCAACGGTGTGAACTCGGGTCGATCGCGATTTAAAAGGCTGCACTCGCGTGAGAAAAACAGGCTTCTTTATATTGCGTTCTAGTCAGGATTGGGAAGTAATGGAGATTGTAACGAGTCGATACTGTTTGAGTTACGATAACAGTAACGGTGCACGAAGAGAGTGTTATAGTTTTGTTATACTGTGTGTTTTTATTAGTGTTGGAACAGAGATTGTCACACAGTATCTTACAAAGGAACATGGTAAACTTTTTTGGAAACGTAGCAATTTTTTAATGAGTAAAATTGAAAAGAAACAAATTTAATGGACAAAACTTTAAAAATAAATTAAAATAGAATAAATCAAATCACACTTCAGTTTTTAAGATACAAATATCACATGAAATGAAAGGATAATAAATTATTGCAGAACGTTGATCTAATCCTCGGCTATGAAATTCTAGTATGTGTGAGTTTTATTGGATCAAATTACCGTGGATCAAATTACTTTTAACAAGAAACTTTCCTAACTCTCGTTCTCTAGTAGAGAAGAGATATCTAGCGAGCTTAAATTGGATGCTACGATATCTTTGACCCCGTTGACCTACCAAATTTTTCGCGAGCCCATTAATATGTTTAACATATTTATCCGGATAGAAAGTTGTTTTCTTGCTTAAAATTCGCAAAGTTCGGGAATTACACATACACACACACACACACACATACACACGGATATATAACGCGAAGTCCATACCAGAAAGAGTACATATTCGACATGTGGAGCTATCCGTTGCACGCCAACTCCACAAAATTAATGTAGTCATTCGATATATATAAATTCAAATAATTAAATTCATACTAACACATAATTAATATAATTCAATTTGAATTACTATACACACATATATATATACACACATATATAGAACGTAATACAGTAATTATGTAATACGTTAACGATGAATTCTTGATGACAAGACGAAAACGTCAGAGTGGCGCGCCGAAGCGACACTATGCCACTAATGCAGAGTTAACGACAACGTTATTATTACATGAGACGCTTAGCGGCATCTTTTAGCGGGAGGATACGCTATAATAAAACCAAGTGGAGCGGCGCTTATGTGTTGGCAAAGTGACGTTATTACCGAGCTTACGTACCCAGCTCGTCGAGTTTCCCAATGGACGGGCTTTTTGTCCGCCCCGAGAACAGCCAGTTGATCCTGCTGGCCCTTTTGTTCGCGACGCGTTTTTGTCGGACGGTATACGAGCGGCATACGCGAGCGGCTCGCCCGCGAACGCGAACACCGTCACCCGGAATCGTTACCGTCGCCGTCGTATCGCCGTCGTGGTCATTGTCGTTAGAGAGGGTGGATTTATAAATACACAGTGTGTGTGCGTGTGTGTGTGTCTGCGTGTGATACCGCACCCCCTTGTCGCTGTGGAAATAAATCCATCGGGATACATAAATATTCATAATCCATAACGTGCGTGTCGCGCATGTGACTCGCGTGATCGCTATAATTAGTCTGTATGCAACAGCGTGCAGCAACGTGACTTCCCGACCGGTTCAAAATAATTGCAACCCTTGTCGCATAATGAACGCCTGCGAGAGAGCTCGGTCCGCAAATAAGAGAGAAAGAGAGAAAGAGAGAGAAAGATAGTTTATTTACGCCCTGGGGTAAAAAACCCTTAAGCTACAAAAGAAAATAAATGGCATATAGTTTAGCTTTACATAGAAAAAGTTTACATAGAAAGAACTAGCCAAATTGTATTAATAAGAAAATGTAAGCAAAATAGGGCCGTTTAACATAGCGAGGAAGTCGATAATAATATTAAGTCAAAAAGATATTTTACGCAAAGCAAGCAAACGGCCAGAAAAATGTAAAATATATAATAAAGCGCACCTTAAATAACTAATAAGCGTGAATCAATAGTAAATAAATATAAAACTCAAAAAATAAACAAGTATAAATAAGAAACACAGAACGGAAAATTTACTGGCCTAACATAAACGAGTACAAACAGGCGAAGTAACAAAGATAGAGGTTACGTAAATCAACGGGAAAAAAGATACGCTCGGACAAGCCAGGAATAGGTATTAAGGTAGGTAACGGATCTCCAAATTTAGCAAATGTTATAGCAGAGCTCTTCTAAAATTAGAGAGAGAGAGAGAGAGATGCGTCGATTGTGTCAGCAAAAAAAAAAAAAAGAGATTACGTGCTGTTTGAATTTCTCGAAGCGAAATCTCACCAAAAACGAGTGAAAATTCACTCGAGGCAAAAGTAAAAGTATAGTCACTACAAAGAATAAATATTTAACGAACCTAGAGCGTGAATTCTGAATTTATATGAGTAATTTTAGTCGATTAATTTAAATGTCATGTCTGTCGCAACGACGATAAAAAATATAAGATTCACTGTTGAATTTCGAATGAAAATACTCTGCGATTCGGGATTTAATCTCTATGAGTAAAAAAGGCATTCGGCCATGAATGATGTGATTGTTGCTTCGTTTTTTGAGCGAAATTTCACTTGAAAAAATTTAGAAAGTATATGTGGTCTACACCAAATTTATTAATCCACAAAAAAACGTACATACACATAGTTGCATCCACTAGTCGTGAATCAAATTAACCGATGTAAATTAACTCGCATTAATTTACATTGATTTGTGTCATCGATAATGCAGTGACGGTATTTGCGTGCGTGAAGTCACACCGCGTGATTAAAGTAAACGCAATCGACCAGCGCGAGACTCGACACCGGTAACCGATTTCGCAGGGGACCTCTTCGTCGTGGTGTTCAGTATGGACTGTCGGGAATCTTTCGAGGAAGCCATCAGGCTGAGAGAGGCGATCCTCGAGACCAAAGTGAGCGCGACTCAAAGTGCCACGAAGAGCAGGAGCAGAAGCCACTACAGCCTGAAAGTCCCTATGGTCATCGTCGGGAACAAATGTGATAAAGATGTAAAGTACGTTCTACGTGTCGAGGACTTGCTTACCATGCTCGTCTTTCGTCGCTTGTCATTGCGCCTCAGGCCCATATCAATAGTCGTTATTTAAAACTTGCCTCAAGTGAGATACTCATTTTAGTCAAATGAGTCGTGAGTTTATGCGAGTTGTTTATGCGAGTATTTAAACTATAAGAGTATAATGATTATATTTAGCTTACAAGTACACCTACCCAAGGTTACACTCCGATTTCTTTCTAATTTGTCGATTTGTACAAATGTAGAAGTACAAAAAATATTTAGGTCATATTTTTTCATTTTGGCTCACTTTGAGTTTCACGGGCAGTTTATAGCTTTTTAATGTTCTCACTCCTATCATTAACAAAAATGCATAAGACATACAATTGAATACAAGATATAGTTAAACAATTTTAACAAAATCGACCACTCAAAGTGGGCCAAAATGAAAAAATATTACCTAAATATTTTTTTGTACCTCTACAATTGTGCCAAATTAGAAAGAAATCGGAGTGTACCTTTTGGGTAGGTTTACTTGTTAGATAAGTTTTCCAGTAGAATCACGATTGCAAATATAACGACCGATCAATAGTCGTTAACTTGTTTCACGTGAGATACTCAGATCAAAATTTGAGCCATGTTGATAGTTGTTACTTAAAAACTTGCCTCATATAAAATGTCTAAATTTATATTCAGAGCTGGATTAGAAGTTTGCAGTTGAATTATGATATACATGACGTTTATATCTATAATTACGATTCAACTGTGAAAACTCTCATCTAACTCTGAATTAAGTAGCTCGCTTGAGACGATTTTCAAGTAATAACTTTTAATAAGAGTCTTGAGGAGTTAAATATGACTTTTTCAGTTAAATTATATAACATTGTATTTGTAATAATTCAACTGAAAAATTTACGCTTGACTCTAAATTGAAATTTGGATATCACGCTCGAGACAAACTTCAAATAACGACTATTAATACAGGTTAATATCGCGTGACCCAACTGGAAAACTCAGATCTGATTCTAAATTCAGATCTGAGGATCTCACGCGAGACAAATTTCAAGTAACGACTATTTATACGAGCCTCAGAGTTACGTAATTGTTTGAATAATGCGTCTTGTGGTCATCGTTGCAGGACGGTCACCGTGGAGGAAGCCGAGCAATATTGCGTGAGCCAAGACGAGTGTTGTATTTTCGTGGAGGCTTCCGCAAAAAGGAACTATCACGTGGACGAGCTCTTTTATCAGTTATTTGTGGTGGCGGGTCTACCGCTGGAGATGGCGCCGAATCACCACAGAAAAGTGCCGCTCACCTTCGGCTCGCCCACTATGCTACCACCGTCGCAGGTACGTGAAGAAAAAGAGAGACAATTGCTCTCCTCTGTTTCTCTGTACACACGGCATCATGGATACCCGAACATTTACTAGATCGAGGATCATACGATTTTCAGGTATACATAATACACATAATACTTGAAATTGATAAGGAGTAGGTGTGTGGATGAGTATGAATGTGGTAGATGAAATGTAAGCCAAGTCCCTTTCTGGCATTGTAAGTTGAAGTAATGTAGTATTATTACTTGAAATTGAAAATTGTACAAATAACTCTGATTATAATAGAGTTATAATGCCGTTAATTATAACGATTTCAATCTTATTCTTACACGCATAAAGCCGAAAATCCTGTGACTCTCGATCTAGGGAATGTTCGGGTATGCATGACGTCGTATGTACAATGCTCGGAAAAGAAAAATTCGCTTCTACGCCGATGTTTCTGCGAGATTGATTAACCGCTTCCGGGAGTTGACCGAAACCCGTCGCGCCGAAAATCCGATTAAAACTAACGAAGCGCGCAAAGGATACGAGACATTGTCTTGCCGGAGTCGAGTCATGCGCGCGATCGGTCGATCGATCGATCGAACGAATGAACGAACGAACGAACGAGGATTATCGCGCGATATCGAGCCGTGGAGGAGTCTGAAAAGCGACCGCTTTTGTTTTTCCAGCCGCGACACAAAGCCACTCTCAGTATAAAACGCCGGCTGAGCGACGCTTGCGGCGTCGTCGCGCCGAACGTGCGTCGTCCCAGCATTAGGACGGACTTGATGATCATGAGAACGAAGACGTGCTCGCTCGCGGCCGGAAATGAGAACAACGCGCCAGGATCCAGGATCACGCTGAGAACATCGGAGTCGAGGAAGGCCTGCTCGATACAGTGATATAGCTCGCGGACAATTCTCGCGGGCAAATGTCGAGGGATACGAGGTTACACGCGCGTTAACACAAAAGCGATCTTCGGAAACGAGATGTACCCCACTTGTCTCTGGCCGCCATAACGTTGATCGCGATCGCCGCATGAGCGTCGCTCGTGCTTATTACGATTTCATTATCATTTTGGCGTTCGCACACGCCATGTGCTCTCTATCGTTACACTATAAATATATAATCGTGCTTTCTTTCGAACTTCTCTCGCGGGGCGAGAAGGAGTCAGGCTTGTTCAACAGTTTTGGAAGAGATTGTACATACGTTGTAAATTGCACGCGATTACAGAGCATTCGGGATCGTATCGTGCGATCGCCAAAGTTCAGCCGCGAACAGACAAGCAGCGGGACGAGAATACTCGCAAACGAAGATCGCCGAGGGAAAATCATATTTAAACCGACCACGCTACTCGCCTTAATTAATTAACGGAATATAGCTTTAGCGTAATGTCCCGAAGGTAACACATATAATTAACTTAAGATGTGACCGAGGGAGAGAGAGAGAGAGAGAGAGAGAGAGATAAACAAAGAGAGAGATAAAGGTAAGCCGTTACGTTAATTAATCGTCGTCGATCAAACACTTAACGGGAAATCGATACGCTAGCGCGGGTGAGATCGTTTGACATTCGATCGCAGGGTCCTTCTCCGACAGTAGCGGGATGATCAAATCGCTCACGAAAGAGCACCCACCCTCCTCTCGCATTGGGGTATAATCTATATCGAAATCACTCTCGACGAGATCAAGGAGTTGCGAACAAAGAAAATTGTCAGCGTCACGTCTCGTACAAGAGAGAACGCGATGAAAAAGCTTTTACCGAATTAGTTAACTGCGCCCATCGTAGCCTCGCGCGAGTTCCGGCACGCGAAGAAGAAGCGACATTATAGAGGCAAAAGAGAGAAAGAGAGAGAGAGGGGGGAGAGAGAGAGAGAGAGAAAGAGAGAGATCCAGAACGTTGTAATTTCGCTAACAGCGTTGGATCCGAAGAATCGAGGAATATTCGAAGCCGTATTACGCCAATCCTTCCGCTGAATCTTCCTTGTGCTCGTACGCGCTTAGAGCTTTCGTACATAAATTGCCGCAATCGTAGATTTAAGGTATAAACTTAAGCTGAAAAACCAGTCGGGATATTGCTTTAAGATTGTTCTAGCTAGAAGAAGATTGACGTGACCGTATGAATAGGATTCAGATTGAGTTTTAACCAGATGAATTTTAGTTATTTTTACATGCGATCAAATTTACTGGTAGTTTTATCTTCTTCTAAGGTACACAAAACTATATAGCAAAATCCAGATTGATCCTTCAGCAAAAGTTTACGTCTTATGTCTATGGTTACGGCAATCCACATGCGAGAGCCCTTGGATAAACCCTTACGAGTGCCAGTGGATTCTTGGTTTGAGTATGTATTACGGCCCCCTTTATCGAAAGGATCACGTGTTTGTCGTCCACGTCAGTTTTGTGTATTCGCGCGGCGCGATCAGGGAGACCATGTTCACTAATGACGAATCGCGCGCTAAACGTGCCCCACAATCAATCGATATTTCCGTACCTCGACCTCCTTTTCCATGCATCTCGAACTTGTTAAAACGTATCAGACTAACACGCGAAAATTATCCCCCCATCGCTCGCGTGTAATTTAGTGGAACCGCGAGCAAGACGAAGGGACACGCGAAACGTGGAATATCTCAAGTCGGAAAAGTCTCATCCGATTTCCATAACGAGAAGAATAATTCATTCGTGGCCGAGTTTGAACGGTTTCTCGCCGCGTTATTAATCGAACAGAGAAGCGAGCACGTTTATTTGACAAAAGGAAATTGTGTTCAACGTATACATCTACATTGAGGAAGAAGAAATGTTTAAAAAATAGTATTGGGTAGGTATGGACAATGTATTTATTTGGATCCAAATTCTTTCACGTAAATAGAAGAAACAATTACTTTTATGAAAAGTTAAGGTTTTCTGAAGGTTTGAAGAAAATCTGTTTCCCTTATTTGAAAAGTATTTTATATTAATATAAGTAAATATGTTATTTATAATCCATTAAATAAATACTTTTTTTCTTAAATACTTTTTCTCTCTAAAATATTATATTATTTCTTAGATATTTCTTCTCTCAGTGTGTAAAAATTCGGCACGTAGAATTTACCAGACTTTGTGCAGTTATCGTTGATTCTGCCTTCGTCATGATTTTGGAAAAATGCACCCCCTCTCTACGTATCATCAATCGCGCGGATGACCCACGACCGATGTGGTACTGCAAGCACACAAAAACCCGCGACTGTCCGCGAACTTGGATGAAACATCTTTCTTCCTCCCGTAGACTCGACCATACAGTTACTCTCTAAGGTACAATCGACGATTCGACCAATTATAAGCGGCCCATGAGGGGCGACTATAGCCGACGAGCGCAAGGCAAAGTTTCATCGGAACAGAGCTACATCGCTGCGAGCGATAAAAATAAGAAAATAAAAAATTAAATAAACAAGTAAAAGTGATTAGTGTCGCGAACATGCGCGATTGTGCTCGCATTTTATATCGAATAAATGACATTTTCTCCATGCCCTCGCACGATTCTTTGAGCAGCTCGTCTAACCCAACGCCAACGTTCCTCCCTCGGGCGCTTCTGAGACGAAGCGGATACCAAAATATCCGCGGTGACGGGCGACCCCGCGTTCCCAACCCGCGATGACACTTTAATCTGCGGAGCGAGAAATCGTCCGCTACACAGACCCGAGTAAAATTGACTTAAACCAGATTTCCATCGTCGCAGCGTTGCCTGCCGGCTACGATTTGTCGATTATCGCCTCCAGCGAACCTACTCTATCTTATTGGTTTGATCGATAACTCGTTAGTCGAATTTTCTCAGGTATTAATCTCTGCAGCACGACGAGGTGGGAATTAATGCTCACTGTATAACGAGATGGATGTGATACCGAATCTCTGCTCGAATGCGTGGGGGTTTGCAAAAATTTTCGCGGCGGAAAAACGCAAATCAGGATTTCAGCGGAGACGGCTATTATCACAGCTTGATAAAATGAATAAATAAATAAAAGAATAAATAAAACGCAAAATATAACAGAAAAATAGAAAAACAGAAAAATATAATAACACAATAACAGAAAAATTATCTGACGAGCGAGCTTTTGTAAAATTCAGTTGGTAACGATCGGCCTTTAGCGGTTGGAAAATACATTTTGCAAACAATTAATAATGACACTTCGTGTGCTTAAAAATGGCTCTCTGACATTTTAGATTAAAAAAGAAAAAAATCATTCATAATTTCGTTCATCAAGAGTAAAAAGCGCTAAAAAATTCTTTTGTCGCCCGGAAGGCAATACAAGAGCGGCTTCAATCAAGCTGGAACTAAAATGGTACGCGATTGAGTTTTCATTTGAAAGTCAACAACGGGCAGAAATAGTACAGTCAAGGTAATTGTGTTAAAAATACGACATTGAAGTATGCGAAGGCTTTCTTTCAGCTTGATGAAATATTTAATAACACGGACTAACTTTGTTCCGTACATAATTTCATAATTATTTAACTTTAAAAGACTCGGAAGCAGACGCCAAGTTTTCATTCACTTTGCATATTGCATTTCCTCCAGGATGGACATCGTAAGAGCTCTCTATCTTACGATATCTTTTTTACAATATTACGTCGTTCACAAGTTAAAACTCTTACAACGCGTTCGTAAAGTTACTTTTTTAAACGGCCACGATAAATTTGTCGGCCATAATCAAGTGATTTTCGGAGAATGACAAAGAAATATAAGAACTAATGCCAACTTTCTTCGTGTTAGTCACAATTTGTGAAATTCACCGTGAGAGATCTCTAAAGAGAAAACTTAAAGAAAATAATCTAATTATTTCAGTTCTCTAAATTTGTGTTAATTATCATCATCGTGGATTCGCGGGATCCACAGAAAAGGTTCGCGATACGCGTTGACAGCGGTTTTCGGTTTAGGAAACGAGGAGGGAACGACAGTAGCGTTCCGCGCAGAACAGTGGAATGTTTAATTAAACTGCGAGACGAGAACTTGGAGAATACCAAACGCCGTGCGGCGTTTGGACCGAGGACTTCTCTCTCTCTGTGCGTCATAGAATTTACGTCTTTACATGCGACACACGGCGGAAAACGAGATATTAACTCCATCTGATTCCACGTACTCGCACGCTCGTCCATTCGCCGCTGTGGTCATTAAAATTTCATCCTCGCATAACGAACTGTTCGTTTTCATAAACAAGTTTACTAGAAACATGCTTGCCCGGCAAATTGAAATTTCGCACAAAAAAGCGAAAATCAAAATCACAGATGTTCGAGACGCGAAGCGTCGCGCTGCCAGGAAGAGTAGAGCTTTTTCACGCAAATTTCCGCGTTTCAAAACTGCGTTTGACCTGTTTTCTTCCCCACTTTTGAAGTTTCTCTAGTACACAGTCTGCCGGTTACCGGGAGGATGAATTACTAACCACCGTTCGCGATCGCGGCCCGCTTCGCGCCACTGCGCATGCTCGTCTGCATCACATCGACCTCGCCGTTACTGAACATGCTGACCGAGCGCGCAGGCGTGCTGGCCATTGCGTGCTCCCTGTCATGTCGTGTATTGGTAACTGCTCGAGTGTTTACGGACGTGAGTCGTGAAAGGTTGATCGGGGATATGGCGTGTGAATCAGCTGAGTAGCCGCACGAAGCGTAGCTCGCGCGAGTTGTCTCATGAACGACAGTGGCGGGTCGCTGGAGTGACGCAACGACGACTGTCGTGCTAGCAGACGATCACTGAAGGCCAAGAAACATGTACTTCGGAAGACTGCTGCTTATATAAGCGACGTTATTTCTTCGTGACATCCGTTCGTCTGCCGCAGTACCGAAGCGTTCGTCGTCGTCGTACAACATACACAATTCCCGGAGTTAACAAACGTTGAGTGTTCGACGTGACGCGCAGTCAAACAATTCGTCGACGTTGGCTTGGACTCAAGTTCAGTCGCATTGGTGAGTGTTGCATGTTAAAAACGGTTGTGTTATTTCGACTAAATTCGTTTTGAGCGCTTTCCTGCTGAAAGCATCATTCTAGATCTCTATTATTCATTGCGTGCTGAAGGAGAATAGAATGATGTAATAGAACGTTTGAAATTAACTTTGCCCTGTCGCGTGACATAAGTAAGCAGGACAAAGGTGACGAAGTAAATCCACGATTGTTCAATCTCTCATTCAATCTTTCATTCAATTGATTTTAAATCGGTGATTGGTACCAACCATTTGTATCAGTATACTAACTTATTGTATTATGTTGATACACATAATATATGTATCAATATTAGAATTTTAATAATGTAAAGGTAATATAACGAGTATGTTATATGACAGCTAAATTACTGAATGGGGAATTATAACATTCATGTAATGTTACTGGCTACTGACCGGCGTAATAATTTTAATATTTATCAAACCTAGTTGCAAACGAATTTCTCTATTACGCTTAATATGTATGCACATTCGTGCATCATAAGTGTCGATTATTTCGAATAAATAATCCGGAATAATCCACCGGAATAATCAACAGTCACGATGTATGAATACGCGCATACACTGTGCGTGATCAAGAAATTGTTTCCGAACTAGGTTTAGTAAATGTTAAGGTTATTATGCCGGATAGTGTGTAAAAACTTACAATTTAATTTTCGGCTAACTTTATGGCTCTACGGATAGATGAGAAATCGTAAAAAGCCAATCTGTTATAGGATAAAGAAAAATCGCTCCACGGCAGAATAACTTGTTAGCCGCCGCGATCGATCGGCACATTTCACGACAATGAGTCGTCAGAATGCGACTCAAATCTCATTAGCCGCGCAGTAGTACCTTCTCGAGATAGCTCGGGATTCTCCGAGTTTACGTTGCAATTCGCGACAAAGCGATCGGGAATACAAGCGTCCGGAAAGCTGCGAAAATGGGTGGCGGCGGGCCGAGCAACAGAAGCATCTTCTCGTACGACACGCTGGTGCACGCGATATCCGGCGCGGCGGTGAGTAAACTTCTCACATGTCGGAAATTCCGCGAACACGCGCATCTCTATCTCTAGCTAGGGGATATAACTCTGACATTTCGTTTCCAGGGTAGCGTCGTCGCGATGGCTGCATTCTATCCCTTGGATACTGTGCGGAGCCGCTTACAATGTAAGCTAAATTTGTACCTAGTACTATCCTATGCGACGGATCAATTATGCACTCGTTTCCCCCGCGGTACATTATGAAATATTGTCAAACGAGCGAGCGAACTTTCGGTTTCATTAAGCCCCCCCCCCCCCCCCTCTCTCTCTCTCTCCCTCCCCTCTCCCCCCTCTTTCTTTCTCCTTCTCTTTCTTTCTCGTGCCTTATTA